TGTGGCAGGCGCCTGTGGTCCCAGCTACTTGGGAGGCTGAGGCAGGAGACTCGCTTGAGCCCAGGAGTTGGAGGTTGCTGTGAGCATGATGCCATGCCACTCTACCCAGGCGGACAGCTTGAGGCTTCATCTCAAAAAAAAAAAAAAACTGACTGTGGTTGTGTGAATATGATGAGCCCCATTTCATTGCATGCTTTCCCTAAGTTCAATATAGATCTCAATATATAAAGCTATTATCTATAAAGCTCAATTATATCCCAATAAAGCTGTTATAAAATCTTAGGAAAAGAGGACACTCAGTCAAGCGAGTTACTGGCTTAAGAGCAAGAATCCTCCCTTCTGATGACGGACTGCATGGCTCCCAGACTTCACATTTCACCCACTGCTCCAGCCTGCAGTCGAAGAGAAAGTGCACCTCCCCAGGGGCAGCCAGGAAGAAGGGGTTAAATAGGAGAGCGGGGATGGGTCAGCCAACTCAGAGCTTCCCTTTTCCACAACCAACCTAAAACCAGGTCCCCATGGACCAACGGGTCACACAGCAAAGAATAAATACACAATCAAAATCAATCACAGGGCCAGGAGTGATGGCTCATGCCTCTAATCCTAGCACTCTGGGAAGCCAAGACAAGAGGATCACATGAGATCAGGAGTTAGAGACCAGCCTGAGCAAGATCGAGATCCTGTCTCTACAAAAAAGAGAAAAATTAGCTAGGCACTGTGGTGGGCGCCTGTAGTCCCAGCTGCTGGGGAGAAGTGCTTGAGCCCAGGAGTTGGAGGTTGCAGTGAGCTATGATGATGCCATCATACTCTAGCCTGTGTGACAGAGTGAAACCTTGTGTCAAAAGAAAAAAAAAAAATCCACAGAGAAATGAAGCTGAATAGTTGTCAAATCTTTAGGAGGAAGAGAATTTTCTTAGCTTAGAAATAACAGTAGAAATCACAGAGGAAATCAATGGACAGCTATGGAATCAACTAAGGAGTCAACTGCATAAAAATAAAACAGATGTCAGGACAAAAATTCAAGGCAAACACGACTAGAGAAAAGGTTTGTAGCAGATGTGAGGGTCTAATGTTTTTGTCACATGACAATCTCATAAATTGTTAACAATAGAACGTATGACCCTTTATTTATCAAATAAAGAATATGAAAACATAAAAGAGAAACTATAACTGGTAGAAGACCGAGTGGGAAAATGCTCAAAGTTCCCAGCCATAGAAGATACACAATTTCAAAGGGATGTAAATGAGAGAAATGCAAATTAAGAGAGATGCAAATTCTACAGCAAAATCCTGTTTCTCCATCCTTAGCTACGTTTTTTTTTCCTTTTTACCTTTTTATTTTGAAAAATTCAAAACTCACAGAATATTTACAAGAATAGTATAATGAAGGCTCCTACGTGCTTCATCTAGATGTGCCAATTGTTTCAGGAATGGCTTTTTAAAATGATTGTACCCAGTACAGGGGAGCCAGCCACATACACTGAGGCTGGCTCAGCCTGCTAAAACAACAATGACAACTGCAACAAAAAGCACCTGTGGCTCAAGCAGCTAAGATGCCAAGCCACATACACCTGAGCTAGCGGGTTCAAATCCAGCCCAGGCCCATCAAACAACAATGATGGCTGCCACTAAAAAATAGCCGGGCATTGTGGAGGGTGCCTGTAGTCCCAGCTACTTGGGAGGCAGAGGCAGGAGAATCACTTGAGCCCAGGAGATGGAGGTTGCTGTGAGCTGTGATGCCACAGCACTCTACCCAGGACGACAGCTTGAGGCTGTGTATCAAAAAAGAAAAAAAAAAAACATAGCCAGGTGTTGTGGTAGGCGCCAGTAATCCTAGTTACTTGGGAGGCTGAGGCAAGAGAATTACTTAAACCCAAGAGTCTGAGGTTGCTGTGAGCTATGACACCATTGCACTCTACCCAGGGTGACAGCTTGAGACTCTGTCTCAGAAAAAAAAAGAAAGAAAGAAAACAATCTGGCCAGATGTGGTTGACCCAGTATTTAAAACCTCTGTGAAACCACCCAAAAGAAAAATCTTAAATGCAGCAAAAGGTTTACAAAAACTATACATTCCTTGGAGCATTGCATGTCATAGTAGCAAGAAATTGACTATTTCGAAGCTGTCTGCAGCATGGGGGATTAGTAACCAGTAAATCTACTCAGTGGAATGTTTTGTAACTAATAACAAATGTCTACGAGGAAAATACTGATGATAATGTTTAGTGAAAAAAAAGGTTCTATTTATATGGTGGGATCACTTGTATGTTAAAGGCAAGTGACAACAAGAACCTCTACAGATGAACCTGGAAGGGAAAGCACCGAAACGGGAGCTGGTTATCACTAGAAAATGTACCTAGAGAGAGTGTCTTTTCTTTTTTGTACTTTCCTGCATTTTCTGATGTGTCTTTAGTGAGCTATACCGCGTTCATTATAACATTAAAACTATGCCTGTTAAATGTTTTATTATTTTTATTATTAGAGTAATGCCTATCAGCTGTCAAAACAACGATAATGTACGAACATGTGTAAAGCTGAAAATAAATGTTTCCTGACCTGATTCTAGTCCTTTGCAGTTTTCAGACGTAAGATTAGAGAATCGTGATCATCTTTTCATGTTTTCCCTGAACAGAAATGTACTTCCTTCAAAGAAAAAATGGGATCACAGACACGCCAGCTCCATACCTTGTATTTTGCTTATTCATTTGATAGTTTATCTTAGATACTTTTGTGTCCTGACATGTCAATCCACCTCGTTTTTAACTGATGTATAAGATCATATTGTAGATCCTTTATAATTCATTTTGTCATCCCTCAAACATGGCTTAAGTTGTTTCTACTTGTTCATTATTATATACATTGTTTCTATGAATCTTTTTATATTTTGTGTATGTATAGATATACTATATTTACATATGTATATATTTTTGAGTAATTATGTGTAAACTATAGGTATGTTGAATTTACATATATATATAAAAGTCAGGTTAAAATGTGTTTCTTATTATTTTACCTTTTTTTTTTTTTTGAGACGGTCTCACTATGTAGCCCTTGGTAGAGTGCCATGGTGTCACAGTTCACAGCAACCTCAAACTCTTGGGCTTAAGCGATTCTCTTGCCTCAGCCTCCCAAGTAGCTGGGACTACAGGTGCCAGCCACAATGCCCGGCTATTTTGTTGTTGTCATAGTTGTGTGGCAGGCCCGGGCTGGGTTTGAACCTGCCACCCCTGGTGTCTGTGGCCAGCGCCCTAGCCTCTGAGCTACAAGCACCAAGCTCTTATTATTTTAATACTTGGTAAGGAATACCTGAAGCAAATATGGGAAAATATCAATCTGTTAAATCTGGATGGTAGATGGATGGGTTTCTTATAGTCTTTGCTTCATTTTCTATTACCAGAAAGTAAGAAATTATTTTCTATTAATATTTCAAGATTAAACAATTACAAACAATATAAAAGAGGGGGTGGAAAATGATGTGTATTCACTCATTGTGAAAATAGCAAGGTTTCATTAAACAGAAACTAGCCCAAGGAGAGGGCTTAGTGTGCTTAACAATTTCCCATGATGCTCAGAGATGTGCAAACAATTTTAAGTGGAGTTGGGAGAACTGCTGATATTTACTGAAGGGTCACTCTGGGCCAGGCACTGTTGTAAGTGCTTTCCATGTATTATTTAATTTTAATTAAGAAACACAGTGGCAATAAAACCAAATTCCATGACTTGCATATGACAAATGCTTATTAGATTTACAAAATAAAATAAATGTACTGGAAATGCTGAAATTGGTGAAAGAGAAACAATTATCAAAGTTAGTCAGAAGGGCCAAATTGTGATCTCACGCATAGCAATGCAAATAAATGCATTCCCTTGGACACATACTTACATGAATGATGAAATTAAGGCAGAGAGATGTGAATTGGCTAAAAACATTGGATTGCCCAAGCTGGAAGCTGAGAGGCACCACGCCCATCTTCCCTGAATGCATATACCTGCAGATGGTCTGGCCCTGCCAGCTTCAGATGCTCAGGCTTAAAAAAATCTAAGAAACTTTTTTTTGATATTTCTGTTTTGACCAGATAATACCTTCACATGGCTCAAAAGTTAAAAGGTACAAAAATGTATACAAGGAGATATCTCCCATCTACTCTGTCCCTACCCACCCATTGCTCTTCCCAAAGACAACTTCTATGTCCAGATTTTTGTCATCCTGGAGATGTCTACCATGTTTCCCTGAAAATAAGACCTACCCAAAAGATAAGCCCTAGCAGGATTTCTATGCATTTGTTAAATATAAGCCCTACCCTGATAATAAGACCTAGTGATGGGTGAAGCTGTGCAGCGTATCTGCATAGCCACACCCTGCATTTCAGCGCAGAGCGGTAAGGAAGACTGGAATACCTTTTATCTGCCACAGCTCCTTTCTCCAAGCCATTCGCACTTGTGCGGGTGGGGTGCGTGTGTGGTAACCGCAAGCAATCGCAGGCATCCTACTGCACGTGCAAACGGCTAGGGGAAAGGAGTTCACGCATCCCTAGCGCCAGCCCCACCAACAAGGTCAGCTCCCCCTGTCAGGTTCCAGAAGAAGATGACTTAACTGTATTTGAATAAATGTAGATTGTTGTATTATACTTAATAAAAATAAGACATCCCCTGAAAATAAGCCCTAATGTGTCTTCTTGAGAAAAAATAAATATAAGACAGTGTCTTATTTTTGGGGAAACATGGTATGTACAGATGAGCAAATATAGAGAGAGATGTAATCTTTAACATGAATGGGAACATACTTTTTACACTGTTCTACACAAACTCTGGGTTTTTTCCCCAGTAACTATACATCTATCTTGGGGATTGTTTCATGTCAGGACATAAAGCACTTCCCGTTCCTTGTTAATCGTATAGTATTCCGTTGCATAAATGAGCCATTTGTTCCATTGCTTCCTTTTTTTTTGCTGTCATTAACAAGGTCATGCAGTCAATAACAACCTTTCAGCCTGTCTGCTCCTCTATGGTGGCTGTCTCTGTAGAATAAATCTCCAGAGGGGAATTTTTGGGTCAGAGGGTATATGCCTTTGTCTTTTGATAGATTATTTGCCAGATTGCCTTCAAAGGGATTGGACCAATTTACACTCCCACCAGCAGCATATGTATGCATGGAGTATGCGGCCTTGCCAAGACAGCATGTTATCAAAGTTTTGGTCCCTGCCAATTGGATGGGTGAAAATAGCATTATATTTGAATGAAGGAGTGAGCCAATGACAGGCACTGAAGAAAAAGGCACGTAAAGAATGTGACTGTTCTCCAAAGGGGCTAAAAACTGTCCAATCCTATGAATATAAATATATGTGAATGGTAGGCCCCCCCCCCACCAAAACAATCATCCAGTAGAGTGGTTAGGGGTGAGCCGCTCTGAGCAGAGCTGGACTACTCCCCTAGGATCCCCCCAAGATTGGAAGCTCCTGGAGGGAAGGGACCAGGCCTGTCTCCCTCACTGCTGTGTCTCCCATACTCAGACCAGGCACCAGAAAGTCATCTGTGGATGAAGAAGGTCACTCAGGATTGGCCAGAAGATGGAAGGGGCAGGTGCGTGGGGCTGGGGAGGCAGATCCCAGGATACACTGGTCATCGATGCTGTTCAGCGTAAAGCGGGTGTTGGAGAATCGGGCAAAGCCATCCCTGTAGAGCCAGGCCCGCAGAGGGATATACTGAGGGGAGGTGGAAACAGAGAGAGAAAAAGGGGAGGGAATCATACAGGCACTCACACACCGCCTAGGTCCTGTACCTGCTGTTCCCTCCTCCTGGAACCCCTCCTCCTTTCCCAAATCAGCCTGTGAGCACCTGTTCTAACATCAGCTTCCTCTGAATCTATCCCCTCCTCCCCCAGGGGGACATGAATGCAGAAGGAACAAAATGAATGGGCATCTCCTGTGCTCCACCGCTGCGTGTGATACACCCCAACTCAGGGTGAATCCATACACTCCCCTAGATGGTGAGGTCCAGGAGGACAGGGTTGAGCCTGCCTTGGACATCCCTCTGTCTTGTACCCAGCACACTATGTAGGCTTAAACATTTGCTGAACTGGTTATGAGAGTAGGCTCTGAGTTTGAATCCCAACTCTGCCACTCCCTGGCTGTGTGACCTTGGGCAAGTCACACAACCTCTCTGTATCTGTTTCCTCATCTGTAAAATGAAGATAATAGCAGAACTTACTTTATTGTATTATTAGGAGGACTGAATGAGATGAAATCGGCTACGTACCAGGGCCTAGCACTTAGTAGATGCTCAATAAATGTTCTCTGCATTTACTGTGGGTGACCGAATGAATAAAAGACAGGCAGGGGAGAAATCTAGATGCTGGGACATTTAAGATGGTAAAACTTAAGTCTGTCTGGCTGCCCCCGCCCCTGTCCCTAGATGTCCCCTGTGGCTCTCCAAGGCGGAGAGAACACCAGACAAGTTCATACAGGTGCCCCCAGGATGGCTTCTTCCCTGATCCCTAGTCCGGCCACCCCAACCCCCTGGAGGAGGACTCTGCCTTAGTTACTCACCGACATCACCAGCACATAGACACGCAGGTCAAACTTGCGACCTGTGAGGCAAAGAAAGAATTAATTTGGGTAGTGAATGTCGGTTTGTGTTGGGCACTGTGTTAGCTTTGGGGGATATAGCAGTAGATGGGAGGGTCAACATAGGGAAAGGCTTGAGACGCGGGATCAAGGAAGGCCCCAGGGGAAGCAATGACCTGCAGGGCGAGATGGGGCCTGCGTGCCCCACAGTGGGGCAGGGCCTCAGGCCTGAGGAACTGCATGGCAGAGGCCTAGAGAGGGTGAAGAACTTGAGCCAAAGGGCAGAGTGGAAGGAGATGAGGTCAACAAGGCTGGCAAGCACTAGGTCATTGCAATCTTTAGGTTTTGTCCCAGAAACCATGGGAAGCCACTGAAGGAACTCCATCCTTCTGGCTACTGTGTTGGAGTAGAACCAAGGGGACAGGACAGGGGCAGGCACTCATGAGGAACTGGTGCATTTGTACAAGTGGGTGAGGACAGTGGCCAGGACAAGGATGGGGGAAGAGGGGTAGCCAGACAGACTGAAGTGCTAGGAGAAGCTTGATGAGGAACCAGATGTGGGAGGGGAAGAGAGGGCTGCTCCCGGAATGGCTCCTGGCCCTGGCTTAGCAGCTGGGGGTGGAAGGGCTGTGTCCCCACTGGGGAAGATGAAAAATCAGCCAGATGGTAGGAGAGGCAGAATTTGGGGCATACGGGGTTCGAGTTGCTGGCATATGCTCAACAGGCATGTCACAGGCTGTCGGACATCAGATCTGGGGTTCAGGGGCAAGGTCTCAGCTGGGAACAAAAAGATAGAAGTCACTGGCATCTGCCTGGTGTTTAAGCCACAGACAGGATGGGGGCTCACTGGGTAGAAGGAGAGAGGCGAAGAGACCTAGGTGCTGCCCCTGAGGAAGGTCATGCCTGAGGAGGTGGAGGAAGGCAACTGGCATTAAGGCTATTACAGTGATGCAACCTGGAGCACCTGTCCCACAGATGAGGGACCCCCCCCCCCCGAGAATCACACTCCTGCTCACACAAGCCTGCCCCCCTGCGGGAATAGCAGAAGCAGGGGGGTGTTGCAGGTACCTGCAAACGCTTTGGGGAGGGGACTTGCTTTTCTTTCCCTGTACTCCTCTCCTTCCAAATCTGCTCACAGTTGTCCTTTGGGTCTCAGCTCACATGTCACCTGCTCAGATGGGCCCTCCCTGGTCTCGTCACTCTATGCCCATCACCCTGCCTGATCTGCTTCCTAACACCCACCACTGTGTGAGATTGCTTTATGTATTTGTTTTCTGGCTCACTGCAGCCTGCTCATCTGGGGAACGAGCTCCCTGAGAGCAGGTGGGCAGCCAGCGTCCAGGACAGGAGCTGGCACTGAGAGGGCTCTTTATAAATACTTGTTGGACAAATGCATGAAAGAATGAGTTGGTTCTTGAAGGAGAATTTTCCTGAACCAAGAAAGGAGTGGGAAGGGCCAGCTGGCCAGAGCAAACAGTATAGGCAATGGCTAAGAGGTGCCAGCATGCTGGTCTCTGACCACGTACCCCTTCATGCCTGGGGTCAGGCTGCCCCTTGGCAGGCTGCTGGTCAATGCTTGTTGACTGACTGATGACCATTCATCAGGACAGCAGGGAACAGACCCAGCTATCTTACCTCCTATCAGGTAGGGATTTTCGATGTAACGCTGAGCTACGTAATTCTCCACAGGAATATCATCTTTCTGGTCATCAGAGCATCTTGTATCCTAGTTGTAATAATAATAACAATTGAACATTTATTGAGTACCTTCTGTGTACTAGGCATTTTGTTAGGCACTCTACTTGGGGTAATTCACCGGATCCTTAAATCAACCCTATCAGGTAATTATTCCCATTTTAAAGATGAGAAAATGAAACACAGAGAGGGAGAGTGACTTGCCCAAGGTCACACAGCCATTCCATGGTGTAGCCGGGCTGCAGCCTCACACAGTCTGGGCTCAGAGCCTGAACATTTAATCTCCAGATCTGAGCTGTCCAATGGGGCAGCCACTGGCCACATCTTTACATTTGCATTTAAACTGACTAAAAGGAAATGAAATGACACACTACGACTGGGGTGGAACTTGAAGATAGGGTGGTAAGTGAAATAAGCCAGACACAAAAGGAAAAATACCGTATGATCCCGCTTATGTGAGGCTCCTAGAGAGGTCAAATTTATAGAGACAGAAAGTAGATGGGGGTTACTAAGGCCCAGGGGGAAGAGGGAATGGGGAGTTAGTGGTTAATGGGTACCGAGTTTCCGTTTGGAAAGATGAAAAGTTCGAAAAATTAAAAATGGTTAAAAGGCGAATTTCATGCTATGCATATTTTACTACAATTTTTAAAAAGGAAATGAAATTTTAGAAATCCTCAGTCACACAAGCCACATGGCAAGTGCTCAGTATCAGTCCGTGGCCAGCAGGCACTGCGTTGGAGAGCACAGATAGACATCATTTCCATCCCTGCAGAAAGTTCTACTGGACAGTGCCACGTAGGGACCCACGGTCCCCAGGACACTGCTCTCCCTTCTCCCGCTGCCAGCCCAGCCCAGGAAGACAGCACTGCTCTCACGCTTGTGCATAGCACCTCGTGGGCTGCAGCGTCCCTTCCCACCCATTGTCCCTTCTACCCAAAGCCAAGGGTCACACACTTGAGGGGATCAAGCAACAGCCTTGTGGCAGGGAGCACTGGCACTCAGGGCTTCTGGCTCTCAGAGCAGATTTTCTCCACCCACCATCACTAATCCCCTGGACAAGTGTCAAGATAGAGGCAGCCAAGCCTTTGCTTCCTGGGACCCTGGCCCTGTCCCACCCTCACTCACGTGGCTGCCAGAGGGATTGATGGTGTTCCGGGTGGGCTGGGCCTCCAGGCTGGTGAGCTTCTTCCCTGCAGGGCCCTGGCAGTTCCAGGGGAGGAGTAAAGACACTGAGCACCGGCCGCACGTCACTGTGTAGCAGGCGCTTGGCCTGCAGGGTTTTGGGTCCTGCTCCTCCTGCCCACCCAGCACTGTAAGGTTCAGAGAGCTTCTGCAATTTTCGCAAGACCACACAGCTGCTGAGTGGCACAGGCAGGATTTGAACAAGGATTTCTACTGCACAGTGTCTTGGAACAAAGATGGGGCTGGCAGAGGAAGGGAGTTGACCCTGAGCCTCAGTCAAGGACCTTCAGGGAGGGTCAGCCGTCTCTCCACAGCCAGATGAGCAGGAGGCCCAGAAAGAGAACATACACTTACTAAACTCCAGGCATTATTCTTGGGGTTTTATACTTATTAGCTCATTGCATCCTCAGCAGGTACTATTTACTGGGACACTGAGAGGTGAAAACTGCCCAAGGTCACCAGCTTTTTTTATTTTTTTATTTTTTTGGCGCCCTCTGTAGAGTGCTGTGACATCACAATTCACAGAAACCTCAAACTCTTGGGCTTAAGCAAGTCTCTTGTCTCAGCCTCCCAAGTAGCTGGGTTTACAGGCACCTGCCACAACACTCAGCTATTTTTTTTGTTATCGTTGTCATTGTTGTTAGGAGGCCCAGGCTGGTTTCAAACCCACCAGCCCCAGTGCATATAGCCAGCACCTTAATTACTGAGCGACGGGTGCCGAGCCAGGGTCACCAGCTTTTGAATGGCAAGGCCAGGATTTGAAACTGGGCAGGATTTGAACTCCAGAGAGCCCTGAGATTTAATGGGCAGGCCTGTGGGCATAGCTTCACTGCCATCCCTCTGAGGTGTGAAGGAAGGAGCGGCCCTCCTGCTGGCAAGGGCAGAGGAAGGTTTGGGAGCAAGGGGGAAGAGGCCAGCTCACCTTCCTCCAGTCCATGATGTCCTTCAGCCTCCGGAAGAGGAAGATGCCCTTCCCCTGCGACCGGGCCACCTGGGATGGGAGTGGGTGCAGAAAGGCCAGCTCTCAGCTGTGTGGGTCCTTGCTGGGCCCTGTGCCTGGGCCCCTCCCCAGCATTTCTCTGTCTCATCTCCTCTGTGGGCCCCCAGCTTCCCCAGAGCAATGGCCCAGCTCAGTTCCAAAAGGGCTGGAACAGAGAAGGTGCTAAGCATAGGACAAGGAGAGAGGCAGGAAAGACAGAGACTGACTGAGCTCACAAAGACATACATTTGCATGAATAATGCAAAAGAACAGACAATTAAAAAACCATTTCTTACAGTCCTGGGAACATATCATCCGATTCTTTTTTTGGAAATCAATTTGCCTTCCTAATTAGGGCTTGCTTCGGCTAATACTGAAATCAGTCTGGCTTTGCTGAACCCCAGCGTGGATAATTCATGGCTTCACAGAGTCTAAGGGCTGGGAGAATCTTTAATCACACAGAGTGGTCCCCACCAAAGGCAACCCTCCCTCCTTTGAGTGATGATCTACGATGGTCCTTCTACAATGGTCACCTGCCTGGCCTTGCACACCCATAGTGCCTGGGAGCTCACTAACCTCTCCCCTAGCCCCACCAACACCCCCCCCCAAGGGCCCTTTTGCTGACCCTCAAAAGGGTTGCGAGATAGCATTGGTAACCAGTTAAGGTATAAATTAGCTGCTAATGTGTGCTGGGCATTATGCTGCAGCAGTAACCCAGACTTCACAGAACTTTCACAGCCTAACCTGTGCAGAGCTAAATGTGCCAGTCTAGCTCTGGCTGCTAGGGCCTCCTAGAGCAAATCTGATTCCTAGGCACCAGAACAGCCCTTCAGTTATCTGCAGCCACTGACCAAGTCCCTGAGTCGTCTTTCTTCCAGCAGAAATGCACCTGGCACATGCAAGCTCTCCTTCCTTCTGTTCTCTTCTGAGCTTGGCCCTGCTGGCCCACCTGAGGCTCTCTGTGCAATGCAGGGGCAGGCAGAGCTGGCAGGCGAGGTTGCACCAGTTGTCCATTGCATGAAGGGCCCCTGTTCTGCCTGCCATTCTGTGCACCCTGGAGCAGGGTTGTATGTGTGCCTGAAAGATTTTGAAGGACTGGCAGTGGCTCGGGGTGGCTCAATGTGCATGGCAATTTTGGAGAGCAACTCATCAGTGTGACAATTCACAGCCTTGCAAAAGACTCGAACAGGCATTTCACAAAAGATTATCAGTGTTAACATACAAACAGACACTCAACTTCATGACTACCAGGGAGATGCTAATGAAATCACAATATGATCCAGGGGTGTCCAAACTTTTTTCTCCTCTGCCACATATTGGAAGATGAAGTGTTGTCTTGGGCCTCACCTGAAATACACAGATACTAACAGAAGCTGATGAGCAAAATGGAAAAAAAAAAGATCTCATCATTTTCATAATATCAAACACCACGGATAATCAAAACAGTCCTCAAATAATCTGCATGTGGCTCACACACTGCAGGTTGGACACCTCTGAAGGATTAAAGTTAAAGACAGAGAATATAAGTGTTGGTGAGGATGTGAAGAAACCGGACTGTCACACCCTGCTGGTGGGAGTGAACATTGTTTGGTAACTGGCAGCATCCATGAAAGTTTAACAAAGATATCCCCATCCCAAGTCCCAGCAACTCTTCTCTTAGGTACTTACACCACAGAGATATGTGCACATGCGTGCCCACACCATGAACAGGGACTCCCATAGCAGCACTATTCATAAAAGCTCCAACCTTGAAACTCTCAAATGGATGAATATTCACTCAGTCGAACAGTATGTGAAAGTGACAATTAACAATTTGCAATTACCCACATCAGGAGGATGAATTGCACCACGTGGTCGTACTATAAGATTCCAGTGACATAAAGTACAAAATCAGGCAAGACCAATCCATGCTGCTAGTGACTTGGAGGACTGTGAGTGGAAAGGGTCTGAGCAGGGCTGCTGAAGTGCCGGTGATGCTTCTTAGATGCTGCCTACCTGAGTATGTTCACTTTCTGAAAATTCATACTGTGTCTCTACAACTCGGTCACTTTTCTTTGTTTTATTAAATTTCCATTAAAAAAGTATTTTAGTTCATACCTTCCTTTAAAACAACAACAACAAAAAAAAAAAAAAACCCAGCGTCTCACTCTGTTGCCCAGGCTAGAGAGCTGTGGTGTCATATAGCTCGCAGCAACCTCAAACTCTTGGGCTCAAGCCATCCTTTTGCCTCTTATGTCACTCTCAAGTAACTGAGACTATAGGGAAGTGCCACTACATGCAGCTAATTTTTCTATTTTCAGTAGAGATGGGGGGGGTTCTCACTTTTGCTCAGGCTGACCTAGAACTCATGAGCTCAAGCAAGTCTCCCACCTCAGCCTCCCAGAGTGTTAGGATTACATGTGTGAGCCACCACACCTCCCCTACCATGGTTCATACCTTTCAATCTAAGAATACCCATGCCCACCCAAGGTTGCCTTCCCTGTAACCACTTCCCTCCCTCTCCCTCCCAGCTGGCAAAACCCACCTCTCATGATAGAGGCTGGAAAGGCCAGATCCTGGTTTTCCCAGCTTCCCTTGCAGCTGGTGGAAACTATGGGACCAGTTTTGGCCAAGGGGATGTAAGTGGACATCTGCTTGGAGACGGGAAAGATTTTCCTCCTTGTTATAAACATTAGAGAGGGAGCAAAGGAGGGAGAGAGAGCGATAGAGAAGAGAAATGATGTTTGGTCCCTTTCCTCCTTTCTTTGAATGCTCGGTCTGTAGAGGTGATGTGTACAACTACAGCAGTCATCTCACCTTCATGAGGTGACAAATATGAAGACAAAAAGCCGACACACTGAGGATGCAGAGTGGACAAAGAAAGGGAACCT